TAATCCCAATATTGTTGAAAAGATTGGAAAAAATTAGAGAAACTTGAATCTGTGAAAGACAAATGATTTACTATTAATATAATTGCTGTCACTAAAGGAATGAACTAACAAATAGAACAAACGGATCAACATAGCATAAGATGTTTCACTCTCTTAGGCCGGCGCCACAGCTCACTAGGCTAATCCTCCGTCTTGCAGCGCTAGCACACCGGGTTCTAGTCCTGGTCGGGGCGCCGGATTCTGTCCTGGTTGCCCCTCTTCCACCAGCTCTCTGCTGTGGCCAGGGAAGTGCAGTGGAGGATGGCCCAAGTGCTTGGGTCCTGAACCCCATGGAAGACCAGGATAAGTACCTGGCTCCTGCCATCGGATCAGTGCCGGGCGCCAGCCGTAGCGCGCTGGCCGCAGTGGCCATTGAGGGGTGAACCAATGGCAAAAGGAAGACCTTTCTCTCTGTAGATCAGTGACAACACCTGATTTGACCAAGCTGTTGAACTTTTAGGATAAAAGACAAATTGTTTGGGATGTCTCAGATCTATGCTTCCTGTTGGCTGGGGCCAAGTTCAGTCTCCATAGAACCTTTGCCTTGGTCTTTGGGATATGCTGTGATTAGCTTAGTAGGAAGTAGAACATGTGTCTTGTGGCATTATGTTCTTTGGGTTGCTGGCATTGTGGAGGAGCTCCTAAGAGAAGTGGCTGTCACTCAATGGAGACAGTTACTTCTGAATTCCTGGTGTTTGTCTTCGCTTATCTGTACATCCAAGTCGTTGAACTAGATGTTTAATAGTCTGTTATCTTGGACTCAGCTCACAGAAGGGGTGCATTTATTCAATACTTGGAATTTCTTTTTTCTTTTTTTTTTTAAGATTTATTTATTGGAAAGGCAGAGAGAAAGAAAGAGAGGGGTATCATTTATCTGCTGGTTTATTTCCCAAATGGCCGCAACAGCCAGGCCTGGGTCAGGCTGAAGCCAGGAACCGGAAACTCTATCCAGGTTTCCCACATGGGTAGCAGGGGCCCAAGTACTTGGGCTGTGTTCTGCTGCCTTCCCAGGTACATTAACAGGAATCTGGATCAAAAGTGGAGCAGCTGGGATTCAATCAGAACTCTGATATGGGATGCTGAAGTTGTTAGGGGCAGCTTAACTCGCTGTGTCATGCAGGTCCCGTGGAATTTCTTATATGTTTTATTGCATTAGTACTTTCGTTTTGTGTTTGCTTCTTGTGAGAAGGTTCACAGTCTGTTGTATATGTATCATTTGGCAGTTCTCCTTAGCCAAGTCATGGGAGCCTGTCAGCATCTAGGTGTCTTTGACAAACTTTGGACAGACTTATTGCCTGAGGAGGAGCTTGAGATATAGATTAAGCACTCTGTGTACTATTTGATGAGAAGTCCATTGGATTGGATCATCTGGAGACTTGTTTTTGTGCTCTTTCTCTTTTGTTCTTTTCTCTCTTTCAAACTTACAGAAATAGTACTGTAGTCTGAACATAAAGTATGGTTAGAAGCCTTGAGGATTCTTCTCAGGAAACATTTTGTGTAGCCAAAATTCTACAAAAGTGTTACAGTGGTATGCAGTGCATTTTATGAAAACATTTTTCTGGGATTTAAGTTATTTCTTCTTTAAGTAAGTACAGTGTTATATCTTTGAAAAAATAGTGGATGGTGAGCTTTTGACCTAGTGGGTAAGACTCCAATTTAGAGGCCTGTATCCAATATTGAAGTACCTGGGTTCTATGCCTGGCTCTGGCTTCTGACTTCAGCTTCTTAATACAGATCCTGGGCGACAGCAATGATGGCTCAAGTGATTGGTTTCCTGCCTCCAAGAAGGGAAACCTGAATTGAGTTCTCATCTGCTGAGTCTGGCCCTGGGCCAGTCCTAGCCATTGTGGGTATTTGGGGAGTGAACCAGTTGATGGGAGCTCACTCTCACTCAAGCTCTCTCAAAAATAAATAAAAAGAATGGGACAAAGGAGAGAGAGAGAGAGAGAGAGAGAGAAGGAGGAAGAGAGAGAGTATAAAAGAAGGTGGATAATTGAGAATTCTTCAGGCTTCAGGCAAAAAAGCAAACTAATAAAAAGGAAGAAAAAAATCAAGCTGGTCTCAGATTTCTGTGTAGCAACCTTTAATACTAGCAACATTCAGGGGAGCTCTATTTGTAAGGTTCTGAAGGGAAGAAGAATAGCCCAAGTATGTCACTCAACTGTACAAAGAGGAAATGGATATATACATGTGTCTATGTGTGTGTGTGTGTGTGTGTGTATAAATTTTTATGTGTTTGAGAGGCAGAGAGAGTTCCCATCCACTGGTTCACTCCCCAAATGCCTGCGATGGCTGGAACTGGGCTGGGCTGAAGGCGGGAGCCCGGAACTCAATCCAGGTCTTTCACATGATGTAGGAAGCCAATTACTTGAGTCATCAACAGTCTAGGGTCTGCATCGGCAGGAAGCTGGAGCAGGATATTGAACCCAGGTACTCACTCATAACTCTGACGTGGGATGTGAGTATCTTAACCACTAAGCTAAACACCTGCCCCAGGAAGCAGATATTCTTAAACACGAAAGAACTCAGGGAGAGGAAAGTATAGGAGATCCACTTAATCAAAACCCATTTGATAATGAAATATGACAATTAAGAAGGAGAAGTTGTGGTAAGAAGACTATGAGCTGATTAACTCAGCTAAACTACACAGTGCATACTAAATAACTATGTATGGAGTAATACTTACAGATGGAATGTGAAAGTAATGAAAAGGACATTGTAATCTTAATCTAACAAAAATTGGGAGAAGAAAAAGGAAATATGAGTGCTAAGGTCTTCAGCTTTCAAAGCAGGAAGTTAGTGGATTCTGTCCAAAATCAATTGTGCTTAATTTTAAAAACAAAGTGAATTCACCCTCTACATAATTTTTTACATATTTAAAAAAATATGGGAGGTTCAAAAACACCAGAAGATAATAGCTGGTATCAGTATATGTGCTATTTATATTTAATGGGTGTCACCTTTTGTTATATTTACTTCTAATCATGTATAAATATTAAAACAAAAAGAGAGGTTTAGGGAAAAATAATGAATACCAATGCATTTACTATCCAGGTTGAGACAAAAAGCATTGCTGATATAATTGAACACTCTTGTATGACCAAAGTCTCAGGGATTTTGTTGTCAGCTTTTTACATACATGTCTTTATACTTTAAATGTGCAAAATATAATTAATAAGTTTTCTGATTTTCAGCTTTGTAGAAACAGTATTCAACCATTTGCCCTGTTAGCTTAATGTTGTTTTGGAGATTTATATTGATATGTGTTGCTTGAGTATATTTTTTATTTTATAAGATTATTTTATGATATTTGTTAATTTTCACTTTATGAAAGCTCTGTGGTTTCTTTTTTTACAATTAGCTTATGATAAAACTTTTTTACATCTTATTCCTAGATAATGTTTTTCTTAATTTTTAAAAATTATCTAGGTAAATTCTTATAGAAAAGAAGCATTTACTGAAGATTTAATAGTAACTTTGATTTCCCTTTTATTTTTTTCTATTAATTCCTTAAAATTAAAATTAATGCTTTATTAAAGGAATGATCCCCTTTGTGAATTTTCTCAGTATACTCTTCCATCGGTGTAAATGCATAGAAAGATACCTGGAGTGATGTTTCCCTAATGATATTCATTTCTAGATGGTGGGATGTGTGGTCATTTTAAACTTTTAGCTCTTGTACATTATTCATAGTAAAGACTATTTTTTGTGAAAATAAAGAGTGATATTTTTCTCAAAACTGAATGTTTTGAGATATTGAATATGATTCAGTAATGCAAAAATAAGTATAAATTACATGGCAGGAGTATAAAGCATTTTTTTTTTCATTTTTATATTTCAGAGTTCTTTAAATATTATTCATAGTGTAGTTGAAATGATGGGGCCATTATTGTGGCACAGCAGGTTAAGCCGCAGCTTGGGATGCAAGCATCCCATAGCTTGGCTGTTCCGCTTCTGATCTAGCTCCCTGCTAAAGTGCCTGAGAGGCAGTGGAAGATGGCCTAAGTACTTGGGTCCCTGCCACCATGTGGGAGACCTGGATGGAGTCCCTGGTTTCTGGCTTCAGCCTGGCCCAACCCTGTTGCAGCTGTTTTGGGGAGTGAACTAGCAGATGGAAGATTTTTCTCCCCCCTGCTCTGACTCTTTCAAATAAATAAATAATAGATAAACCTATCTTTCTTTAAAAAAATTTATTGTAATGGTAGTCTGGCTTTCTTGAAAATATGCTCATTTAGATCAAAGGAAAAGCTAGATTTATTCTTTTACTTAATTATCTCCTTTTCAGCACCTTTCTTCAGTTTCTCATGATTCAAGGAAAGAAAAATTAGTGCAGTAAAAGTTTAAGGCCCTTGAGAGTAATACAACCTTCAGGGGATTTAGACTGTATGTTGATGAACTTTTCAGGAACAGTAGAAACTTGTAGTAGATTTTTATTTATTTCTTGTACCGAGGTTGTACATAGTCTAGCTCCCCTTCCTGAGTTTTCTTATGTCCTGTGAGCCCAAGTGTCAGGTTTCTTTGCTGAGGTGACATGTACCTCTCTGTGTCCATGGTAGATATAATGAACATCACTAAACTGGATTCTGTCACAAATCAGAGTACATGGGGGCTGCCGCCTTGGCGCCGTAGGTTAATCCTCCAACTGTGCCGCTGGTATCCCATGTGGGCACTGGGTTCTGGTCCCAGTTGCTCCTTTTGCAATCCGGCTCTGCTGTGGCCTGGGAGTGCAGTGGAGGATGGCCTAAGTCCTTGGGCCCCTGCACCCGCATGGGAGACCCGGGGGAGGCACCTGGCTCCAGGCTTCAGATCATGGTAGCTCTGGCCGTTGCCGCTATTTGGGGGGTGAACCGTCGGATGGAAGACCTTTCTGTCTGTCTCTCTCACTGTCTGTAACTCTGCCTGTCCCAAAAAAAAAAAAAAAAAAGTACAAGGTATTCTCTTTTGTTCTGTTTGGTTTGTAGGTATGACCTTGCTTCTCGGGAGTGGCTTCCACTGAACCGCTCTGTGAACAGTGTGGTGGTTAGATACGGTCATTCTTTGGCGTTATACGAGGTAAAATATCTCTACTGTGTACTAAGAAAAAACTCTTCCTTAGTTACTTCATGTATTAAATAGTTGAGAAACTGTTCATTGTTGGTTTTTAGTTGAGGGATGTATAATTGGCTAAGTTTTAAGTGGAAGTTAAAGTTGAAACTTTAACCCAAGAAATTTGAGTGAATGCAAACTACATTTGGATATTAAGATTATAGTACTAAATGGTTGAGACTGTAGATTTTAAAAGTGTAAATTGACTTTTACATGTAATATGACTGAATAATCATCTTCCTTGCTTTTGTAATCTTTCCCTTGCTTTTGTAGTTCTTGGTAGGATGCAGCAGCTGTATTTTTCTAAGTCATTCTTTATTGAAAATATCTCATGAGAGCAAGATGAAGAAAAGTGGAGAAGTGTCAGAAATATAGAATATGATTTATGTTATTTCCCTTTTGTTCCTTTCTTCATACTTTTCCTAGTAATTCGTTGTAAGGTGCTTTTCACTAACATGCTAAGCTAAGAATACTGAGATTTTGAACTGATCCTTTTGGATTCTTAGATTTGATTTTTTTCACTGCTTTTTAAAATTTTATTTATCTATTTTCCCTAGGATAAAATTTATATGTATGGAGGAAAAATTGATTCAACAGGAAATGTGACCAATGAGTTGAGAGTATTTCATATTCATAATGAATCATGGGTATTGTTGACCCCAAAGGCAAAGGAGCAGTATGCAGTGGTTGGGCACTCGGCACACATTGTTACCTTGAAAAGTGGCCGAGTGGTCATGCTGGTCATTTTTGGTCACTGCCCTCTCTATGGGTATATAAGCAATGTGCAGGAATATGACTTAGGTAGGTACATTTTTTCCAGTGAAATTTTGTAATGTAAAATTTAAAACCTCTACCTTTATTGTGACTGTTTAGCAAGATTTAAGCTAATATTGACCTTAAAACACAATTAACATTAATGTATTACCAGATAAATTTAGATTATTGATGTTACCATATAGTAAATGTTTGTCACTGTCAATTTGGCAAGGAAACAAAGTGAGGCACTTAATGCTTTGGGTGTCAAAAAATAAGTAAATAAAAATGTTTTGAAGCAACAAATGTTCTGAAGAAAAAAATATTTGGGTAGCCCTTTAGAGATGGGTTTAATGGAGTGTGATTTCTCTTTAATGTATAATCTTTCCTTTTGTTAAACTTTATTTTATCTTTAATTATGCAGTAGGAATAACAGTCATAATTGATATTCTTGAGAAAAGTAGGTCTATAAAGTACATCTGTATATTGGTTACTAATGATCATAAGGAATTAAGTATTCATTTGAGAAGAATCTGAGTTTTAAATTTGGTGAGATCTTTTCCTGCATGGTATTATTAGACTATTAGAACATTTAATAATTGGAGTTTGGCCATATGGATTTGTTGTAAGTTTTAGATGGTCTTTAAAAAAAAAAGAAGATAAAAGACAGTTACATATATATCAGTTCTCCTGAAATCCCTTCTCTTGCCCTAAGCTATTTAATATTTTAAGTATTAGAGGAAAAGCCTGCAGTGTTCGCCTTTGACTGTTTTTCCCCTTCCAGAGAAGAATACCTGGAATATATTACACACCCAGGGTGCCCTTGTGCAAGGGGGCTACGGCCACAGCAGTGTTTATGACAACAGGACCAACGCCCTGTACGTTCACGGTGGCTACAAGGCTTTCAGTGCCAATAAATACCGTCTTGCGGATGATCTCTACAGATACGATGTGGAAAGCCAGATGTGGTGGGTGCTTTTTTGAGCTTTTGCTTTAAAGTGTGAACCTCATAGAGATAATTATAGGAAAATGTCGTGCATTCTTTTTATTTTCAATCCAGGTGGATAATTCTGTTCAGCATTTTATGTGGAGAAATTGGGAAATAAGTAGCCTACTATTTATTTTCTTGCATTATTCTGTAAGTTAGAAGATACTGGGCATTTTGGGACTAGGTTTCAATTTTTCATTCACTAACAACTACTCTAAAATTTTAGCTCGTCAGAATCCTAAGGAGTAAATTACAAAGCTGAGTTTGTACACTTTTCCAATAGAAAATATCCACTTTTTAACTTTTTGGTGGACAAAGTGTCATTTCTGGGGTCAGTTACTAGTGTCATTCTATGAAAACATCAAACAGGATGTTCTCACTGACTGAGTTTTCCTCACTATGAGCTATATTTCAGCCTACAGATATCATGCTTTTCACAAATTTGAGTTCTTAAAGGATGTAATTATAAAGCAGTGGTTTTTCTCCCTTCTTCTTCTGTTTGCTCTTAAGCAAACAGAATCATACTATGGATAGCATTTTAGATTCTGTTTGTCATAAAAAATAATTTTTATTGACTGTAATACTCTATAATGTAGGTATTCTGAGCCTCTCCAGTTGGAAGTTTTGGTTTGCAACTTTTGTCTTATTAATAAAATATTGTGCATAAGCTTCTATTTGTATTTCACATAATTTTTGCTCAGAAACTGGAGCTATAGGGTCAGAGGGAAGAACATTTTAAGGGCCCTAATATTTGAAAATACTTCAAAAAGCTTAGTGGAATTAAAAGATGAATTTGTTTTGGTGCAAAAAGTTTTGAAATTCATGCATACATATACTAGAGGTCTTCAAAAGTTCATGGAAAATATGTATTAGGGATTTGAAAAAAATTTTTGTACCAAAAAAGCTAATCTTTTAAATTTATTTTCTGTGAACATTTTGAAGTACTCTTGTGTTTTGCCAAAGCTCTTAACAGATCTTTAAAATTTTACATATTTATATGCAGAGAGAAGTCTGGAGGTATTTGCACATTTAAGTCTGAATTTAGTGAAATGGTTATGTTTGCATTAGCAGATAGATTCATATTCTTTAAAAACTAACCTTGTATTTATTATTTTTAAATAAACTCAAAAGGACCATTCTTAAGGACAGCCGATTTTTCCGTTACTTGCACACAGCTGTGATAGTGAGCGGAACCATGCTGGTGTTTGGAGGGAATACACACAATGACACATCCATGAGCCATGGCGCCAAATGCTTCTCTTCAGATTTCATGGCTTATGACATTGGTAAGTTTCCCAAAGCCATTTTAGCTTCAGGAATTTTTTTGTCTGTCAGCATTTTAAAAAGTGACCAAAAATATCACCAGTTCAAAATGGTCAGGCATTTGAAAGATGTCCAAATGGTGTTTTTTAATATTCACTTGACTAATGTTACATATCTATTTAAAAAGTATTAGTTCTACTTTTCAAAGTCACTGTCATAAATTGCTTGAGTGTTAATTTTTGAGATTGAGTTGCAGTAACTGATCTCTCCATTGTTGCAGATGCCTGACATAGTGGAGTTATGTAATTGAAACCACCAGCATTATATTAAATTGGTTTAAATATTAGCTTTATTTAATTTTCTAAAAAATTGGTTTTGCACATATTCTGAAGAGTGTTAATATACTTGACCAGAAGAGGGCAGTATTTATGCAATACAAAAAAAAGCTAGTCCCTTGTATAAATATGTTCATTTTTTAAAAATTAAAAATTTTTAAAAATTGTGATGAGACACACATAACATAAAATATATAATTTTAATCATTTTTAAGTGTGTAGTTCAGTGGAATCAAATACTTGTACATTCCTAATGTTAAATATTCATCGCCACCATCTGTCTTCATAATGTCTTCATCTTATTAAGCTGAATTTCTGTACCCGTTAAATACTAATTCCCCATTTTCCCCTTTCCTTAAACTCTGGCAACCACCATTCTACTGTCTGTCTCTATGATTTTACCTATTCCAAATCAGATGTTCATTTTAAACACATTTACATGCCAAGTCACTGAGCTTGTGCATTAAAGATGATAAGTTAAGCCCCTAGCCTCAAGGTGGAGGAGGCAGAGAAATGAGCAGATGATTTAATTGAAATTCAGGATTTTCTGGCTGAGAGGACTATTTGAACATTTGGGACACCCATGAGCACGTGTAAGTCATTGGGTAAGTAGGAGTGATAGAAAAGTCCTTCTTGAGGGAACATCTTCCACCTGGTGTCCTGAGGAGCACTGGGAGTCAGTCAGGTGCAGTCAAGCAGAGGCAGCCCACAGGCGGAGACACAGAGGCGGAAAGAGACCATGGCACATATTTAGGGCCCAGGAGTAGTTCATTTTGGCTGCATCATGGCAGCATATCAGGTAGGAGTGGCCTCAAGTGAAATTAAGGACATAAGCAACCATCAGACCAAACTGTTCAGATCTTGAGGAGCCTGATAGGTCAGGCTGAGGAGTGTGGGCTTTTGAGGAAGTATCTTAAGAAAATCTCTTTTGTGGCATTGTGGTGAGTGGTTGGCCATTAGGAGGCTGCTGCTGAAGTCCTGATGAGGGATTGGGGTGTGGAAATGACAGTGACGGTAAAGAGCCAGGTATGCTAACTACCAGCAACCTTGAGGATTGTTTAGAGCAGGGATGGGGAATGTCCAGCCCAGAGGCTGTGTAGGACCTGTGAAGTCACTGGGTCTGGTCCTGCCAGGGCAACCACAGGTGGAACTCTAAATTTTTAAATTGATAATTTTGTATGACCTGCAGTTGATGTTATCAATATGCAAGTGGCCATTGGCAGAAAAAAGATTCCCTATCCCTGTCTAGGGTGTAGAGGTGAAGTGACTGTATGCCCAGGGATCTGGCATGGGTGTGGTAGATGGTGCCTTTTGCCAAGGCTGGGAACAGAGGTGGAGGAACAGGGTCTGGGAAGGTGAGAATGAAGTCAGTGGGGGAGCGTGTCTAGAGGAAGTGTCAGTGTGACAGGCATGCGAGAGCCAGCAGGAAGCCTTTGGAGGCCGCCTGTGTCAGAGGACGGAGAGAAATCTGAAACAAAGTGGAGACTGACCAAACGCATGTCAGAAGCTTTGCAAAGACTGGAGACCTCTGAGGGAGCAGTTAATTGTTGCAGGGTAATTAAGTAAGATGAGGACTGAGGGCAGCTGTGGCATGGTGGGTAAAGCCACTGTCTGCAGTACCAGCATCCCATGTGGACACTGGTTCGAGTCCTGGCTGCTCCACTTCCAATCCAGCTCCCTGCTAATGCTCCTGGGAAAGCGGTGGAAGATTTTCCGAGTCCTTGGGCCCTTGTACCCGTGTGGGAGTCCTAGAAGAAGCTCCTGTCTCTTGGCTTCTGATCAGCCCAGCTCTGGCTCTGGCAGCCATTTAGGGAGTGAACCAGTGAATGAAAGATTTTCTCTCTCTCTCTCTCTCTCGCTCGCTCTCGCTCTTTCTCTCTCTTTCTGCCCCTACCTTTCTGTAACTCTGCCTTTCAAATAAATAAATAAATTTAAAAAATAAAAAAAGATAAGGACTAAGGAGACCTTCAGATTAGCAACAGAGAGATCAGTTATTGCCCTCCAGTCACTGAGGAATAGTCCAGATTGCAGGAGGCTGAGAAATGATGTTAGGCGAGGCATGTACTCAGTGAATGTCTTGTTTGTGGAGGGGAAAAAAGGGGATAAGTTGAGTGCCTCAGGGGGAAGTGGATCTAGGAGAGACTTTAGGACAAAAAAGAAAAAGGATAGGTAGATAGCCTGGGGCATATTTAAATACAGTGGGGAAAGCCAGCAAAAAATGTTGGAGGCCCAAAGAAGAAAAGGCATAAACAGTAGAATCAGGGGTGGATTGCCACACTGCGCTTTTAAGGAAGCAAGCAAGGTAGGTGGGTAGGAAGCCAGGAGGGTTGGTGGCCTTGTTCTCCATGTGAGGAAGAGCCATCTAGACTGGGTAGGAGAAGGATGTGAAGGCTGTGGTAGACGAGGCTGGATGAAGGCCTGGGTCTGGCAGTGAACTTCTGCTCAGTGAGTGTCTCAGACAGGGAGTGTGAGGCAGTACCAGTTAATGTTAGGTCCAGAAGAGAAGTTACTAGCATGGGCCAGGATGAAGGAAAATCAGCAGATTCAGGAGGTACTAAGAAATCCTTTTAAAAATTAAATAAACTTAATTTTTAAAAATTTTAATTTTCCACCTGACTTTTGTATTGTAACTACTAAGGTTGGGCAAATTAGTATGCAAAAGAATAGGAAATAACTATGAAAGCCACATATTTTACTTACATAAGCTTGGTGGTATGAAAATTTGTTTAAGTTAAAAAACATTCTAGTGGGTAAAGTGGTAGATGGTAGAATGAATAGCAGGGGTATTGGATGAGCTTCATTAATTAGAATTGCCCTGGAATCCTGCCTTCCTGCAAGCCCTACTGCTCTGCTGTTGCTACATTCTACCCCAGAAATAAAGGTGTGGCTGAGAACCTAGGGAGGTCCGCTTTACAGGGCTGTGTCTGTTGCACCTTCCTCCCCAAGACACCGTCAGTTCCTGTCGATTGTGAATGGCAGTCTCCTCTTAAATGTGTTTTTCTTGCTCCTAGTTTGTGACCGCTGGTCAGTGCTTCCCAGACCTGATCTCCACCATGACGTCAACAGATTTGGCCATTCAGCAGTCTTATACAACAGGTAATTGAAGAAGTACTTGCCTCTTTTCTCTTTTGTTGAAGATGATATAAAACATGAAGAAGTAGAATTGAACTTTATAGGATTTCCATCTTTTCAGCTTGTCGTGAAATTATGTTGGTGGGAATTTCCTGATATATGTTAAAAATATTCTATGTGAAGTATGAAATGTATAAAGTATATAAATTACTTTAAGCGCCACATTTGTTATCTGATTTTGTTAGTGTGCGGAAACTGGTGCTGTCTGACTGCATGAAACAACTAATGTTACATTTGTGTGTGTCACTATCTTACGTCTCCTGCTATTCTTTGCAGTTCTTAGGTTGTCAGATTGCTTGTACTTGCATCTGAATGGTGAAAAGAGGTTTGAAAATAGAGAGGGCACTTTTTTTTTTTATTTTTTCATTTATTTGAGAGTTAGAGTAATAGCGGGAGGGAGAGTCAGAGAGAAAGGTCTTGCTTCTGTTGGTTCACTCCCCAAATGGCCGCAACGGCCGGAGCTGTGCCCATCGAAGCCAGGAGACAGAAGCTTCCTCCCAGTCTCCCATGCGGGTGCAGGGGCCCAAGCACTTGGGCCATCCTCCACTGCCTTCCCGGGCCACAGCAGAGAGCTGGATGGGAAGAGGAGCAACCAGAACTAGAACCGGCACTCATATGGGATGCTGGCGCTGCAAGCAGAGGGTTAACCTACTACATCATGGCGCCAGCCCCAACAGGGCACTTTATATAGAGGATAAGGAAGGAGAACAGAAATGGGGAGATTGTGAAGCTTCATATGGATCATGTATGCCGTCTTTGAGTAATCTGAAGTCTGTACCTGCATTTTACTGTGTCACTCAAAAATGCTTGGCACTGAGTACTAGAAGTTGTTATAAATCTGCCCTGGAGAAGTCTCAGTCAAATAAGGAAGTTTCAGAGTGGCCACTATTTTTAAAATTTTTAATTTATTATTTATTTTGATTTTTTATTTTAAGAGGCAGAGAGAGACACACACAGAGAAAGATCATTCATCTGATAGCTTACTCTCCAAATGCCACAGCAGCTGGGGCTGGGCCTGGCTGAAGTCAGGAACCTGGAACTCAATCCAGGTCTCCTGCTTTGGAGTCAGGGACACTAGTGCCTGAGCCAACCTGCTGCTACCTGCCAAGGTGTATTATCAGCAAGAAGCTGGAATCAGGACCTGGAGGCACTGTAATGTAGAATGCAGGCACCCCAGGTGGCAAGTTAGCCACTATGCCAAATGTTCGTAGCTGGAGTGGCTGCTCTTACTTGTTGTTTACAATGCACTTTTAAGGTTTTTGAGAAGTTATACAGCCTAATCACATTGATTTTCCTCACTTTTGTTTCTGCTATTATTACTGCTCTTAACCTTTTAAAATTCTAATGTTCATAAACCCTAAAGCTATGCTATAATCTCTTGCATTATGTTAGAATTCTTTTGACATTCAAAATTTCCATTGTGATGATGAAAGATGAATATAACTTGGATTAGGAAAAATAAGAAAGTGACATTTTGGATAGGTTGTGAAGAAAGGGTTGGCAGGATTTAGAAATTAGGTATTTATATAGTAATTAGTTTTTTAGGAGTACACATGGTCTCACTAGGAGAACATTTGATAGTTTTAGACTAAAATAGTTTTTGACTTCCTTGCTAAGTTGAGGTGTTATCTTAAATCATAATGTGATATTTCCTTAGTAAAGAAGACCTTAGATCTTTCTAGCAAGTGCATCTTGAGATTTTCATCTGAAGAGTGGGGAACCCTTTTGTCGTCATCTGACCTCTGGGTATCTGGCCTCAGCTCTCCTCATCTCTATGTCCCTCGGTTCTCCTGAGGTTTGGTCTTGATAGTCACTTGTTAAATGGAAGCTATTAGTACTCTCATGATAACTAGTAAATGAATCTTATGTTAAAACTTTTCTCAGATCTCACCCAAATTCAGAGAAAAAATGACACTTTACCATAGAAGATTGTTTTAGCATGAATCACAACTGGGAAGGGCTTGTCTGAGTTCTGACAATGATTTTGTTTTGTGTAATTCCGGTGGTGTGTTTGAGCCATGGAATGTGAGTATCTGTGAGTACAGGACAGGGTTTGAAGGGGCAGAGAACAAGGAGGAGGGCACATACAAAAAGGTCAGGGTTTTGAGTTAATTTTAATTAACTGTAATTGAGGAGAAACTTGGATTCACATAATTCCTTCATGTTTTAGGTTGGCGAGCTGTGTGCTGTTTACTTGTTATCACTGTGGCTTGGAAGGAGAAGGCCATGGGGCACTGGAGGAGAAGTAGCTGCTACTCTCAAGTCGCCTGTCTCAGGCATCTGTGAAGGCGTCCCCTGCCCCATCCCCTCGCAGAGCCCGTGTGTAACCAGGTGTATTCAGAATTGCAGAGCTCGCCAGCTGTACTGGGAGCAGGAGGGAACTTGTTTCCTTTAAGGAACAGATTGACTAGTGGAATCCAGCATGTTTAATGTGATATTAAGTCAGCCAACCTTGTTTTAATTGTCGATATGAGCAGTTTGCAAGTGTGTGTGTGCATGTATATTTATGATAGGGTTGCATTTTTAAAAATTTTCTTTAAATTTATTTGAAAGGCAGAGTTACAGAGAAGCAGAGAGAGAGATCTTCCATCCACTGGTTCACTCCCCAAGTGGCTGCAATGGCCGGAGCAGGGCCAATCTGAAGCCAGGAGCTAGGAGCTTCTTCTGGGGTCTCGAGACCCACATGGGTGCAGGGATCCAAGGACTTGGGCCATCTTCTACTGTTTTCCCAGGCCATTGCAGAGAGCTGAATCAGAAATAGAGCAGCTGGGACTGGAATTGGCACCCATATGGGATGCTGGCACTGCAGGTGGTAGCTCAACCCACTACGCCACAGCACCAGGCCCTGAGGGGGTTGCATTTTGAGACATGCATTGTCAGGCACTGTTATCATTGTTGGAACATAATAGAGTACACTTGCATAAGCCTCGATGGTATAAATCAATCACTCCATGGCCTCTTGATGCAGTAAAAGTTTCCAGTTTTGGGGGCCAATGTTGTGGCATACCAGATAAAGCTGCTGCCTGAAATGCTGGCATCTCATATGGACTCCGGTTCATGTCCTGGATGCTCTACTTGTGATCCAGCTTCTTGCCAATGTGCCTGGGTAAAGCAGCGGAAGATGGCCCAAATCCCTGGGCCCTTGCACCCACGTGGGAGACCCAGAAGAAGCTCCTGGCTTCTGGCTTCAGCCTGGCCTGGTCCTAGTCATTGTGGCCATTTGGAGAGTGAACCAGTGGATGGAAGATCTCTCTGCCTCTCCTTCTCTTTCTGTAATTCTGACTTTCAAATAAATAAGTAAATCTTTTTTAAAAAGAGATATGTGCAGGAGAGACCCATTTCTAATATTACCCATGCAATACTAGTGCTAGAAGTTTAATGTGGTCCTTGAAATAGAATACAGTTAAGGAAAATGCAAGTAATTGATGTACCTCTCTTCCCTCCTTCCTTTTCTTCTCTCCTCTCTCCCTCTATCTTTTCTTTCCCTCCCTCCTCTGTGTGTCTCACCCCTTCCCTTTTTTTTTCTTTCCTCTCTTTTTTCTTTCATTTATTTGAAAGGCATAGTGACATAGAAGGAGGGAGAGATACCGATAGGTATCTTCCCATCCTCTGATTTACCCCCCAAATGTCTGCAACAACCAGGGCAAGGCCAGGCTGAAGCCAGAAACCTGGAATTCCATCCTGTGTAAGTGGCAGGGGCCCAAGTATTTGGCCTATCATCGGCTGCCTCCCAAGTACATTAGCAGAAAGCAGAATCAGAAATGTGGAGTATCTGGGACTTGAACCAGGCTATAATATGGGTGTGGGCATCCCAAGTAGTGAATTAACCTGCTGCACAACAACACTTGCCCCAGAGTCTTTTAATTTACCAATTTTCACAATAATGTACTGATTTCTTTGTCTAAAGGTCACAAATGAAGTTTCTTTTGGGGGGAAGAAAGGAGTACTTGTGTCATTATGATCACAGATCATAATGGCTCTTTGGTGAGCATCTCTTCACATTAGCTAATGAGATTTTTTGATACTACCCTAATTCATTCCATGACGACAGGCTCATTATGAACATTTCTTGACCCAGGCATGAAATTATGTTTCTCTAAAAAGTTCTAATTTGGAAGGGTTGGGGAGGGGAGGAGAATGGTTTTTAGATACCACAATCTAAGTACTAGTCCTATTCATATTCATTGTTACTGGGTTGGTTATGTTTCTAGGTTTTTTTGTTGCTGTTGTTAATATTTTATTTGACAGAGTTACAGATAGAGAGAGAAAGGTCTTCCTTCCATTGGTTCACTCCCCAAATGGCCACAACAGCCGGAGCTGTGCCGATCCGAAGCCAGGAGCCAGGAACTTCTTCCTGGTCTCCCATGCAGGAGCAGGGGCCCAGGGACTTGGGCTACCCTCCACTGCTGTCCCAGGCCATAGCAGAGAGCTGGATGGAAAGAGGAGCAGCCGGAACTAGAACTGGTACCCATAAGGTTTGCTGGAGCCACAGGCAGAGGATTAACCTACTGTGCCACTGTGCCGACCCCCTCTAGGTTTTTTAAGAAGACAAGTTAAAGAGAAACTGTGTTTTTCTTGTTTTAAAAAGAAGATGGGAATGGGCATTTGACATAGCCATTAAGATACTGTTTGGAATGCCACATCCCGTATTGGAGTGACTGCGTTTATGTACCAGCTCTGCTCTCAATTTCAGCTTCCTGCTATTGCAAACCCTGGGAGGCTGCAGGTGATTACTCAAGTACTTGGGTCCCTTCCACCCTTTTGGGAGACCCAGATTGAGTTCCTGACTCCTGGCTTTGGCCTGCCACAGCCCTGGCTGTTGTGGGCATTTGGGGAGTGAGCTAGTGGATGTAGGATATGTCTGTCTCTCACTGCCTTTCAAGTAATTAAAAATACATAAATGAACATTTAAAAAAGAAAAGTGGGGGCCAGCACTGTGACGCAGTGGGTTAATGCCCTGGCCTGAAGCGCTGGCATCCCATATGGGTGCCAGTTCAAGACCTGGCTGCTCCACTTCCGATCCAGCTCTCTGCTATGGCCTGGAAAAGCAGTAGAAGATGGCCCAAGCCCTTGGGTCCCTGCACCCATGTGGGAGACCCGGAGGAAGCTCCTGGCTCCTGGCTTCAGATCGGTGCAGCTCCAGCTGTTGCAGCCAATTGGGGAGTGAACCATCGGATGGAAGACCTTCTCTTTCTCTCTGCCTCTCCTCTCTCTGTGTAACTCTGACTTTCAAATAAATAAATAAATAAATCTTTTTTTTTTTAAAGGAAAGTGAATTCGATCTGTATTTGTGTTTTGTATTTGTGTTTCTTCCTTCAGTAGATAAATGATCATACTCTGCTTTGCTTTTTGTTTTCCTGCACATAACCGTATACCCTGAATACCTAGGATCTCACTCCAAAGCAGTACATAGAAATCTTCCTCATTCCTTTTCATATCTGCCTGGTATTCATTACAAGAAAGTACCCTAGTTTATTCATCACGTCCTCAATTGAGGGATATTTTAGATTGAATCCTTTGCTATTCTTAATGCTTGACGAGCCTCAGGTATACTTCTGTTTATAATTTTCCTATTGATCTTTATACTAGATTTCTAGAGATGTGATTTCATATTCAAAGGTAAATACATAGTTTTGTTAGATATTGCCAAATTCCCCTTCATAGGCTGGTGGCATTCTACATGCCCAAGAACATGTATGAAATAGCCTCACCAACCTAGGTATTGCTCTGCTCGGGTGGAGTTTTTCCTTTACTACTCTGACAGGTGAGAAATGCTGTTTCAGGCTAGTTTGAATTAGCATTTCTCCTAATGACTAAAGTTGAGCATCTTCTCGTACGCTTAAGGTCATTCGCATTTTTCACTTGTAAACTTGCTGAATCCCTCTTTATATTAGGGATATTCCTTTTCTTGTAACTAACTGGTAAATAATTTTTCCTACTGTATCACCGTCCTTTTACTTTCTTATAGCATTATTTTCTACGTAAAAATCTTTTTAATTATATAATGAAAATTTGAGTCTTTTTTCCTATCTTCTGAATTTTAAGTCATAGGGATGCTTTTTCTGCTCTCCAGTTAGAGAGATGTTTATTCATTCTTCTAGTACTTGTGTGGTATTTTTGTTGTCGTTTCTTTTTATCTTGGGTTTAGTTGTCTCGATACAGTTTACTGAAAAGTCCATCTTTTCCTCAGGAATTTCAGATCCCACTTTTGCCGTGTACTGAATTCCCACATTCATTTGTACAGGTGGCTTGTTGGAACTATTTTGGTGGTCACAGATCCGGATAAAACGATGGAATTGGGGAGGGAAGATAATAAGAATGTTTTTTTGAGACCTTGAAAAATAATTTCTTAGAAGTCTTCGGATCCATAAGATTGGTCTGTGAAAAGCCCATCACACGGTTGTTATGTATGTCTTCTATAAGCACTTTCTCTCCCTTTCTTTCCTCTTAGCACCATGTATGTGTTCGGCGGTTTCAACAGTCTCCTCCTCAGTGACATCCTGGTGTTCACCTCGGAGCAGTGTGGCGCACACCGGAGTGAAGCTGCTTGTTTAGCTGCAGGGCCTGGTGTCCGGTGTGTGTGGGACGCAGCGTCATCTCAGTGTTTATCCTTGGAGTTGGCATCTGAAGAACAAGCAGAAAAGTTAAAATCAGAATGTTTTCCCAAAAGAAGTATGTTTTTTTCTTTACTTAGAATTTAATTAATTTGAAATCTCAGTTTTTCTGGATTATGAAGGCACTTAACATATATATATATATATATATATATATATATATATATACCTTTCATGTTCACCTTCTTATTCAAAATTATTCAGGCATGACTTGTGCAAGGTCCTTCTGAGTATTTGAGAATTGATTGGTAAACATCATCATGTGGCTCCTAGAAGTGATCTGAGTGGTGGGAACAAAACCATCTTGGAATTGCATGGACTTTGTATACCATTTCCAGAGCCTGGCTGCAACTGGCTTATTTAATTTAATATTTAAAATATTTGTTTATTTGTATGAAAGGCAGAGTGACAGAAAGAGAGAGAGATCTTCCTTCTGCAAGTTTACTCCCTAAATGCCTGCAGTAACTAGGATAGGTCAGGTTGAAGCCAAAAGCTCAGAACTCCATCTAGATCTCCCACATGGGTGACAGGGATCCAAGTACTTGGGCCATTATCTGCTGCTTTCCCAGCAGGAAGCCAGATGGGAAATACAGGCGCTGAGACTCGAACTGGCACTCTGAGATTGGACGCTGGCATCATTAAGTGGTGACTTAACTTGCTGTGTCACGGTACTTTCCTGTTTTAATTTTAATTAAAGTGCCTCCAATATTGTATTTCACAGGTCTAATGCTAAGGATGAGATTTGAGGGTGAATGCAGAGAAGCTATTTGAAAGTAAACTGTTCTGGTGAATAAAGGTAGAATAGTTGTCGTTGCGAAGTATTCTCTTCTAGTGCTTCTGTTTAGCACAGTTGCTGAGGATGAGCGGTGATCCCTGCTTTGAGAACCTCCCTTCATGTTTCCCTAGCTGTTTTCTTCATCTTGTCTGCTTATCTTCTAACCGTTTTGCTCTCACATAGAGCACAGTACACCACAGTGAAGTAACATCTGAGAAAGTACTTTAAGGGAAGGCTGGGGCCAGCACTGTGGTATAATAGGTTAAGCCTCTTCTGCCTGCGGTGCCAGCATCCCATATGGGTGCTGGTTTGAGTGCCGGCTGCTCCACTTCCATTCAGCTCCCTGATAATGACCTGGGAAAGCAGTGCATCGAAGTTGGCCCAAGTGCTTAGGCTCCTAAATGCTCCCAGTTCCTGGCTTCACATCATCCCAGCCCCGGCTTTTGTAGCCATTTGGGGAGAGAACCAGCAGATGGAAGATCTCTCTCTCTCTCTCTCTCTCTCTCTCTCTCTCTCTCTGTAACTCCCAAATAAATAAATAAATACTCTTTAAAAAAAATTAAGAGAAAGATCAGCATTGTGGTACAGCAAGATGCTACAGCTTGAAATGCCAGCATCCCGTATCAGAGTGCTGATTGTAGTCTTGGCTGCTCCACTTGCTATCCAGCTCCCTGCTGTTGTGGTTGGGAAAGCCCCAGAAGATGGCCCAAGTCCTTGGGCCTCTGCACCCATGTGGGAGACCTGGAAGAAGCTCCTGGTTCCTGGCTTTGTATTGGGCCCTGCTCCAGCTGTTGTGGCCATTTGGTGAGTGAGCTGGCAGATAGAAGATCTTTCTGTCAGTCTCCTTAACCCTCCTCCCACCCTGTAACTGTGCCTTTCAAATAAATAAAAATAAATCTTTTGAAAGGTAGAGTTACAGAGAGAGAGAGAGAGACACCATCTTCTGCTGTTTTCCCAGGCACAGCAGGGAACTGGATTTTAATGACTCAGTATGAATCTGTTTGATGTTATCTCATCTTTGATGGCAGCTTCTTGTTTCACTCCATTTTCTGGATGGGCGCAGTTTTTAGCATGATGACCAGGACAGGAAGCACAGGCTATAACTAGGAGAAATGGCTCGGTCTCCTGCATTACTCTGGCCCCTGGGCAGCTTCTGGTGTTTGTTCATTCTGTTGATGATTGATATGGTATGGGGGGAGGGCAAGAAAAGTATTTGAAGAACCAGACCTCACTTCCGTTTTATGCATATCTGATAGTTGTTCATTTTTATCTATTTTTGTTTTTCACTTTTTGTGTACTTTTTTAATAAAATAATATTTCTTTAGATTGTTCATTTCTAAATCCCGTTTTAACCTGAATATCCCAATATATTTTCCTGCCAGTTTCAGGATTTTACTTCCCATAGTTTTTTTTTTTAAACCTCAGTTTCAGATTGTGCTCCACAGAAGCTTTCACAGTTGATGAATTTTTCTTTTCTCTATAGCTGTTGACCATGACAGATGTGACCAACACACGGATTGCTACAGCTGCACAGCCAACACCAATGAGTGCCACTGGTGCAATGACCATTGTGTCCCTGTGAACCACAGCTGCTCAGAAGGCCAGGTCAGGGGCTATTTCTCAAGGATTTCAGAAGATAGAAAAATCCTAACAGGGCTCATGTTTAGGTTTTAGTGTGTATGGCATAAATAATGGCTCAGAGTTATTTTTAAAATGAGATATAGGTTTGGATTTATACTGTTCAGGCTTTTTCTTTTAGGAAAGGATGCACTATCCATCCTAATTCCAAGGGACCTGTGAGACACATTAGTTTGTGTGTGGTGTTTAGAAGAAGATAGGACTCTTGCTTCTAGGCATGGCTGTACTCAGTGCTAGACCCTTGGTTCGAGGCTGGTATCAGCGAGCTCACTCCACCTGTGCAATGTTTGGGGCGCAGATGAGGGCTGGAGACTGGCACTGAGGCAAGTATTGAATTATGGAAATAATAGACTTTGTAAAGTTTCTTTATGTTATTTTGGTTCAATGTAACTTCAGTGCCTACCACATACAAATTTTAAAAATATAAGCCATAACAAGAATAAAAATATAAGATGACCCAGCTTTTATAGTTTTTGACAGTTTATAAAAGATTTAAAAAATAAACTTATTTATGTATTTATTCTTGCTTGTTTGAAAGGCAGAGAGAGAGAAAGAGTGAGAGATTGATCTTCCCTCTTCAGTCTGCTGGCTCGTTCTCCAAATGCCCATAATAGCAAGGTTGGGTGAGGCCAAAGCCAGGAACTCTGTCTGGGTCTTGCACATGGGCGGCAGAGACCCAGTTACCCGACCCATCACCATTGTGTCTCAGGATGCATGTTAGCAGGAAGCTAGAATGGCAAATGGAGCCAGGACTTGAACTAAGCACTCCAGTATATGATGTGGGCATCCCAAAGGGCTCCTTAGCTGGTGCACCTACCCCTGTAAGACATTCTGTGTCCATCTAATTTAGTTTGTAAAATGTAAAGCTTTTAGACTGTGGAGGAAATGGCATTAAAAGCAGCAAGTTCAACTTTCCCATTTTATAGACGACCAGGTTGAAGCATAGTGTTTTAAAAGAGTGGGTATTGCCTTGCCAATTAAAGCCATGTTCTTGAGCAAAACATTCTGCTGCAGTGCTGTTTCATCTGCATATTAATTTTTTGTATCTTTAGTTGCAGTTGCTTCCCAAATGACATTTTTGTTGTCTTTATACCCTATTGCGGTTCACCATGAGTTCTCTCTGTGGGTAACAGAGAGAAAAGCTCTTGTACGTTGTCTTCTAGATCTCCATTTTCAGGTATGATAATTGCCCCAAGGATAACCCAATGTACTACTGTAACAAGAAGACCAGCTGCAGGAGCTGTGCCCTGGACCAGAACTGCCAGTGGGAGCCCCGGAATCAGGAGTGTATCGCCCTGCCTGGTAGGCCTTGCAGGGGCATCTTGCTGTATGGGTATCTAAAATTTCCCCCTTCCCCCAGGGTTGTGCAGCCTCAGTTGGACCTAGCAGAAAGAATTCTAGCAGTCGATCTCCGACACTACCATTATGGTTGTTACTTAAAAAAAAAACACACACACACACACACTAAGATACAGTTCTTAATTATTTGCTTCTACTGTCGTTTGAAATAAAGTGAAGCATCTGCTTCACTGATCTGCTTTGCAGAATAGAGTGACAACTAAATCTGTATTGTTGAGCCTGCTCCATTGCCCACCTCCGCTCTGCTGTGGTAACCTGGGACTCACATGCAGTAGTCTTAGCAGCCAGTTGATAGGCACTCTGTAAAGAGGACTTCTCAATGACAAATAGGATTTGGCTGTTACCACCTACTGTGAGAAGAAAGAGGGGAGACACTTCGGTCAGCAGCACCTCTTGGGGTGATCTCCAGGCCTAAATACCCCAATTTATGGCATTTGTGAGGTTTGAGATGATGAGTTGGGGTCCTAAGGCCATAACTGAATCCCTGTGAAATCCAGGAAGGGGAACTTCTGTGTTTCTATGTGATGTCTAAGGCATATACAGGGTAATCGAGCTAGACCAGGCGCTGTTGGCAGATCCTTTGGAAGTACTTGATTCAGCTTGAAGATGGGCTTCTTGTTTTCACTTTCATTATGTCTTAGACTTTAACAAACAGCAGAACACCTGGGAATCCTAACTAAAAAGCATATTGTGGGACAAGTCTAATGTAGGACCCTAGAGTCTACATATAACTGGTCACTGATGCCACATTTTGAGGAGTAAAGTATCTGCTGTTAAGTGGTCTCTTTCCTGTGGTACCTTCCTTTATCTCAGTGACTAATATTAATGAACACTGCTAATGGTGTCTCCGGGTACTTTGGTACTGGTGACACTTGGTCATGGTGTTCTAGGAAGCATCCGTAGTGTCTCCTCAGTACCTTGTAGGGGTTCAGGATGATCACAAGGAGCAGGATACAAGCTTGCTGTATGTGTTATAGCTGTATCATTTTGGGTTTTGTCCCAGTGTTCCCGCCTTGATTGTACCTTCTACCCCATGATATAAAAACAGTGCAGCTTTTGGAGACTGTAGATTTGTTCATTCCCCAGCTCATTTCTGTTCTTGTGGTTTTCTGCTCCATTCTTCCACTTTGCATATTCATTTGTCTGCTCTTCACTCAGGATTTTAGTCTTCTTTCTTAATGTTCCTCAGAGGAGATGTACCAGTGCACTGTTGGCACCAGTCATGTGTTTTCCTCTAAGATGTAGGAAAGGTAACCTCTGAATATGTCTTTGAGATCCAGGAAATATGACTGATAAACATTTTTAAAATTCTTATGTTCTGTATCTGATATTTTGTAGTGTGTGTGATACCCACACTCACCGTATCCTAATGAAATAACTGGAATAAAGATTACAAAGCTCATTTAGTGGTTCAGTAATTTGAATTAGTAGTACAGTAGCTTTATGTGGTTTCCAAAACTTTTTTTTTTCTCTTCTCCTTTTACAAAAGAAAATATCTGTGGCGCTGGATGGCATTTGGTTGGAAACTCATGTTTGAAAATTACTACTGCTAAGGAGAATTATGACAACGCTAAATTGTCCTGTAGGAACCACAATGCCTTTTTGGCTTCTCTCACAACCCAGAAGAAGGTAGAATTTGTCCTTAAGCAGCTACGAATAATGCAGTCATCACAGAGCATGGTGAGTTAAAACCCTCAGAACTTAGTTGTGGGTATTCATCTTGCTATTGAATGTGTGACCGCGGCTTGTGTGTAGAAAGTCTGACATGTCCTGTGAGAGGAGGAATGCAGGAATACTAACATACAGGCATAATAGATCATGGAGCTGTAGTGGCAGATGAGTCTCTTCCTTTTTTTTTTTTTTTTTTTTTGACAGGCAGAGTGGACAGTGAGAGAGAGAGACAGAGAGAAAGGTCTTCCTTTGCCGTTGGTTCACCCTCCGATGGCCTCCGCGGCCGGCGCGCTGCGGCCGGCGCACCGCGCTGATCCGATGGCAGGAGCCAGGAGCCAGGTGCTTTTCCTGGTCTCCCATGGGGTGCAGGGCCCAAGCACCTGGGCCATCCTCCACTGCACTCCCTGGCCACAGCAGAGGGCTGGCCTGGAAGAGGGGCAACCGGGACAGAATCCGGTGCCCCGACCGGGACTAGAACCCGGTGTGCCGGCGCCGCTAGGCGGAGGATTAGCCTAGTGAGCCGCGGCGCCGGCTTGAGTCTCTTCCTTTAATAATCTTTTCTTAAAATTTTCAGTACTTTCTGTGTTTTTGTTAGTCATATCTTTTAAGTAACTTACAGTATGTGTGGATGATTATATGCAGGATGACTACTAATGTGTATATTTGTACATACTCGGGTGACATCAGTAGGTGATTGCATATTTGTTTTATCTCTGGATTCTGGGTGTTGTGGGGAAGGGAAAGGTCACTGCTAATTATGTAGGTTGGACTAAGCATCTGAATTCCCATAGAGTTGAGGTGTTATTACAGGGTAGCACCACAAAGTGTACTTCTGTTTGGGTCTTTCTGAGACCTGGCCAGCCAGAAAGAAGAGAGAGCACCTTCTCTTCAGGAGTTTCTGAGCTCAGAAAGGTCCCAGTTCCTTTCCTTTCCTTTCCTTTCCTTTCCTTTCCTTTCCTTTCCTTTCCTTTCCTTTCCTTTCGTTCTTTCGTTCTTTCGTTCTTTCGTTCTTTCGTTCTTTCTTTTTTTTTTTGACAGGCAGGGTGGACAGTGAGAGAGATAGAGAGAAAAGGAGAAAGGTCTTCCTTTTTCCGTTGGTTCACCCCTCAATGGCCGCTGCAGCCGGCATACTGCGGTGATCCGAGGCCAGGAGCCAGGTGCTTCTCCTGGTCTCCCATGTGGGTGCAGGGCCCAAGCACTTGGGCCATCCTCCACTGCACTCCCGGGCCACAGCAGAGAGCTGGACTGGAAGAGGAGCAACCGGGACAGAATCCGGCGCCCCAACCAGGACTAGAACCCGGTGTGCTGTCGCCGCAGGCGGAGGATTAACCTATTGAGCCGTGGCACTGGCCTCCCAGTTCCCTTTCTGTCCACATAATTGCTGCCAGGTGGCTTGTGGCTGGTATTTCACCATCACATTTGCTTGTTTTTAGTCCAAAGGCCTAGACCTGTGATCCTACCCTCAGATAAGTAGAAACTCAGGAAGACAGCTCTTATCTTCTCTATTTGTGTTTTCTTGACAGGCAGAGTGGACAGTGAGAGAGAGAGACAGAGAGAAAAGGTCATCCTTTGACCGTTGAGTTCACCCTCCAATGGCCGCCGCGGCCGGCGCGCTGCGGCCGAGCGCACCGCGCTGATCCGATGACAGAGAGCCAGGAGCCAGGTGCTTTTCCTGGTCTCCCATGGAGTGCAGAGCCCAAGCACCTGGGCCATCCTCCACTGCACTCCCTGGCCACAGCAGAGGGCTGGCCTGGAAGAGGGGCAACCGGGACAGAATCCGGCGCCCCGACCGGGACTAGAACCCGGTGTGCCGGCGCCGCTAGGCGGAGGATTAGCCTACTGAGCCGCGGCGCCGGCCAGAAAACAGCTCTTTTGGCAGTGTTAGCAGTGGTACAGAGGGGTTTGAGGGCCATGTTCTTGTTAAACAGCGAGAAGTCAGGAACAGCACTTTCTCAGGTGTGGCCAATGTCTTGGCTATATTGGCTTCTTTTTTTTTTTAATTTATTTTTATTTTTATTTTTTGACAGGCAGAGTGGACAGTGAGAGAGAGAGAGACAGAGAGAAAGGTCTTCCTTTGCCGTTGGTTCACCCTCCAATGGCTGCCGCGGCCAGCCCGCTGCGGCCGGTGCACCGTGCTGATCCAATGGCAGGAGCCAGGTACTTATCCTGGTCTCCCATGGGGTGCAGGGCCCAAGCACTTGGGCCATCCTCCACTGCACTCCCTGGCCACAGCAGAGAGCTGGCCTGGAAGAGGGGCAACCGGGACAGAATCCGGTGCCCCGACCGGGACTAGAACCCGGTGTGCCGGCGCCGCAAGGCGGAGGATTAGCCTAGTAAGCCGCGGCGCCGGCCTATATTGGCTTCTGTGTACTTCCTAAACCACTATTCTAGATGACTGGGAGGTGCCCTGTATTTCTTTTCTCCAGTGCAATTTGGCTATGGTGTAGACACTGAAAATGCTGGTAATACATACAGTGTGTTGCCTTCAGGGAAGTCTCTGGCCACATTTGATATTTTGCATTTCAGTAGTTTTTTCGAATTTCATAATCTCCATTGGAGACTGTCCCTATTGTTTGTTTCTCTTTTGTCTTCTCTCCCAGCATTCTGTCCTTAGCTGTCAACTGCCCTTACCCTCAATCTTTCGCTCCCTCATAAAATGAATGGTTCACAGCTTTGCCCATTACCCTGGTGACTGTACCAGTGGTTATCAAGTCACATCTCTGAAAATTAGCTGTTTGGAAGGGTTCAACCATCCCAGCTGACCACAGATCTACCCTAGTTGCTTCTCTCTTCCTCAGGTTTTCTAGTTCTAAAGTTTAGGTTCTGTATATTCCGCCCTGCTGTGGCCACCTTTGTAAAACAGAAAGTCAGTCTTGTGGTAAGACTGTCTAAGGTATAATGTGCTTCTACAGCATAACTCTGGATGCAGCCCAGTCTGTAGAGTCCAGATGTTTATGAAAAACCAAGAAAGGATACCCAACCTAGCCTTTAAGGCAGAGGCTGGCTGATAGAGAGCTGTGAACAAGTAACCCCTGGAGGTGAGAGGCGAGAACTGGGCAGGGCAGAGAGGAGTGCTCCCTGTGTTTGCGTGCCCTGTGTGCAAGATGTGGAGATTGAGAGCATGGCTCTTTGAGCCTCAGGTAAGTTTGCATGATTAGCTGCAGCTGAGTGGGAAGGAACTGCTGTAGTGGGACCTCAAGAAGAAACCAAAGCTTACTCCTGAGAGACCTTGTCCACAGTGCTGCTAATGGCTTTGAATTTTATTATGAAGGCAAAGTGAAATTTTTGAAACTATTAATTTTGACTATTTTCTTTCCTGATTAAATAATATATATTTCAAAGGAAATTTTAAAAGTACTAATAGTAAAGAAAATAGTGGGGCCAGCACCGTGGCTCACTTGGTTAATCCTCTGCCTGGCTATTTCTTTTTTTTTTTTTTTTCTTTTTTTAAAAGTTTACTTCTTTTGAAATTAGAATTACAGAGAAGGAGAGGCAGAGAGAGAGAGAGAGAAAGAGAGAGAGAGAGAGAGATTCCATCTGCTGATTCACTCCTCAAATGGCTACAATAGCCAGAGCTAGGCCAGGCAGAAGCCAGGAGCCAGAACCTTCCTCTGGGACTCCCACTTGGTGCAGGAGCCCAAGGACTTGGGTCATCTTCCATTGCTTTCCCAGGGGCAATAGCAGGGAGCTGGATCAGAAGTAGAGCAGCCAGGACACAAGCTACTGCCTATATGGGGCACCAGCACTGTAGATGGCAGCTTAACCTGCTATGCCACAGCACCGGCCCCCAGCCATATCTTTTTTTAAAAGATATTGAAAAAGGCAGAAAGAAAGAAAGATTATCCATTTGCTGGTTCACTCCCGAAATGCCTACAGCACCCAGGGCTGGGCCACACTGAAGCCAGGAGCCTGGAACTCAATCTGAGTCTCCCACATGGATAGCAAAGACCCAAGTTCTTGAGTCATAACCTGCTGCCTCCCAGGGTGTACATTAGCAGGAAACTAGATCAGAAGCTAGTTGGGGTGGGGGGACAGCGCTGAGGCACAGTGGGTTAACATCCTGGCCTGAAGTGCCAGCATCCCATATGGGTGCCAGTTCGAGACCTGGCTGCTCCACTTCCAGTCCAGCTCTCTGCTATGGCCTGGGAAAACAGTACAAGATGGCCCAAGTCCTTGAGCCCCTACACCTGTGTGGGAGACCTGGTAGAAGCTCCTGGCTCCTGGCTTTGGATCAGCGCAGCTCCAGCCATTGCAGCCAATTGGGCAGTGAACCATCTCCTCTCTCTGTGTAACTCTGACTTTCAAATAAATCTTTAACAAAACAAAACAAAAAAACACACCCAATTGGGGAGCTAAACCCAGGCACTCTAATACGGGAATTGGGCATCCCAAGTGGCAGTTTAACTCTGTGCCAAAGGCCCACACCTGGGAGTAGTCATTTCTTCATGACATTTGTCATAGAATGTAGGAGTTTCAGAACTTGATCATCCCTTTGCTATTTAATCTGTAAAAATTTTGATATATTCTCTGAGCCATATTTTTGTGCTTTGTAAAATAACTATTACTGAAGTGAAAATCCATCCTTATCTGCTGTGGCTGACTTATAATCAGGAGGTTTTTCCTTTATCTTTGGGGCATACCTAACTTAATGATTTTTATCTAGAAGCTTGTTTTGGTCAAGGTATTGGTTGTATTCATAGCTATGTCTGATTTTTATCTATAGTCCAAACTTACTCTAACCCCTTGGGTTGGCCTTCGGAAGATCAATGTGTCCTACTGGTGCTGGGAAGATATGTCCCCATTTACAAATACTTTACTGCAGTGGATGCCATCTGAGCCCAGCGATGCTGGCTTCTGTGGAATCTTGTCAGAGCCCAGTACTCGGGGATTGAAGGCTGCAACCTGCATCAACCCACTCAATGGTAGCGTCTGTGAAAGGCCTGGTAAGGACATGGACGAATTAGATGCTGTTGAAAGTTTGTTGAGAGAGAAGCTGTAGGAGGCATTATTAAGAACTGAGATCTGTGAAATGGTCACAAAAACAGGTGGAGGATTTCAAGCAAATGAAGCAGAGTATAACCAAGACTTTCAAAAGTCAAAAGAAATAGTTTGTAGCTCTGAACAGTTTGAGCTATAACCAAACCCAGAATAACCAACACTGACTAAAAGAACTTAATGTTCTGACAATGAGATTGATTGGTTTGTTGACCACACACACACACACACACAAATTGAGAACTGCTCTGAAAGGCAGATTTCTTGGTATTGGCAGAGAAATGCTGGGGAAGAAAGAATAAAAGAGGAAAATATAAACAGATTTATTTGTTCCTTTAGCTTTGTCCTAAAAGTTCTTTGAAAAATTCATTTTACCCCAAGTATATAAATACACTAAACAGTTCGAAATTACTCTCATGTTCATTTTCTCTTTCATTTAGTGTAGTTCCTGAAATGATTTCATGACACCCCAATGGGTCATAACGCATGTTTGAAAGGTCTTTGACCTTAGCTGATGTGGTAGGAGCTCTAAATGTCTGTCTTGGGTTTAATTCCCAGCGAACCACAGTGCCAAGCAGTGCCGGACACCTTGTGCCTTGAGGACAGCATGTGGAGAGTGCACCAGCGGCAGCTCTGAGTGCATGTGGTGCAGCAACATGAAGCAGTGTGTGGACTCCAATGCCTACGTGGCCTCCTTTCCTTTCGGCCAGTGTATGGAGTGGTATACAATGAGCAGCTGTCCCCGTAAGTGAAACAAGAGTGCTAGCCACTTAGAAGTGCCCCAAGTGAGGGCAACAGTTCTTGCCATGGGGATGTGCTGTCAGCATAACTTGACCTTCTGCTCAAGTGTCTAAAGGCTGCTTGTTAAGATTGTCCTGCCTGATGAGAACCTTCCTGCAGAATCAGGCACAGTGATGCAAGTACATGTCGGATAGATTACAGAGTACGGAAATGACTTGCCCAACTTCAGTTTTGTATTGTTCAATCCGGGTACCGTCTCCACATCTTAGTCTCCTGATTTGGAAAGGAAGTGCTCTCCAGTAAATGACCTCTACAGTCCCTTTACCTCCAACCTCCTGAGATTGAGAGGAAGGGAGGGAGGGTCCTATGATGTGTTATAAAAACATAGAAATTTTAAAATTCATTATCTCATTTAATTAATCAGGCTAGAATTTTTGACTTGCAGAAGTTGAATAGTCTGCTAAAAAAATTTACAGTGAATTAAAATCTACCTGTAATAATGAATTGCTACTTGTGTGTGTGTATTTTTTTTAATAGCTGAAAATTGTTCAGGCTACTGTACCTGTAGTCATTGCTTAGAGCAACCAGGCTGTGGCTGGTGTACGGATCCCAGCAATACTGGCAAAGGGAAATGCATAGAAGGCTCTTATAAAGGACCAGTGAAGATGCCTTCCCAGGCCCCGATGGGGAATTCCTATCCACAGCCCCTCCTCAATTCCAGCATGTGCCTGGAGGACAGCAGATACAACTGGTCTTTCATTCACTGTCCAGGTAAGGTGCCTGGAGTTTCCAGTTCCAGTTTTCATTACCTATTTCTGAAAAACAAAACCTTGAAAGCTGCATTATTTATATGGATTTCCTCTCAGAAAAAAATAGAAATAGCAGATAATTTTAAGAGAAATATTTCATGTAAAAATATTTTAAAGTCAATTAATAAAAATATTGAGAACCTCAAGTGAGTTATTCTGTTATAAAATAATATATGCTCATTATACAAAAATATTATGGATATACTATGGGACTATGAAAAGTTCATGGAAAATGTACATTAAGAAAAAAATCATGGACACATTTCAAAAATGTTTACCAAGGTAAACTCATTTTTTTAAAAAAAAGTTTATTTATTTATTTGAAAGTCAGAGTTACACAGAGAGAGAAGGAGAGGAAGAGAGAGAGAGAGAGAGGTCTTCCATCCGCTGGTTCACTCCCCAATTTGCTGCAATGGCCAGAGCTGCGCCGATCTGAAGCCAGGAGCCAGAAGCCTACTCCAGGTCTCCCACACGGGTGCAGGGGCCCAAGGACTTGGGCCATCTTGTACTGCTTTCCCAGGCCATAGTAGAGAGCTGGATCGGAAGTGGGGCAGCGGGGACTCAAACGGGTGCCCATATGGGATGCCAGCACTGCAGGCAGCGGCCTTACCCACTGTGCCACAGCGCTGGCCCCATAAACTCATTTCTTAATTTCATTTTTCAATGAACTTTTAAGAGTACCTCATATGTAAAATGAAAAGTAAAATTGTTCTCACCTCCTGTTCTTACAAAGGTAAAAACTTTTTTTTTTCTTTTCCTTTGGTAAAAACTTTTTAACAGTTTGAGATAGCCCTACACATACAAATCTATGTTTTGTTTTGTTTTGTTTTTGTTTTTGTTTTTGTTTTGACAGGCAGAGTGGACAGTGAGAGAGACAGAGAGAAAGGTCTTCCTTTGCCACTGGTTTACCCACCAATGGCCGCCGCGGCCGGCACGCTGCGGCCAGTGCACCGTGCTGACAAATCTGTGTTTTTAAAAATAAATAGTACTATGCTGTATATATGCATATAATTATAAACTGTTCTACAGTTTCTCTTTTACTTAAAATGCATCATGACCTTTGTTGGAAAAAATTAAAAATAACATCTGCCAGTTCAGAAATTCCTCTCACAGATGCAGGAAAGAAAGAAAATACTTTTATTATTAAATAAATGTTAAACCAGACCCCGATGCACTAATGAGATTGCAAAGATAGAGAAATGACAAAGACTGTATATTTAATCCAGTATGTAAATATTCTCAAGATAAACCATAGTTTGTCCTCATGAAAGATTTGACAGCATCATTTGTAGTACATTCTTTCATAGTTCATCCTAAATTGAACTGGTAATTGGAGTGGCTACCTGTGCTAATTAATTACCTTTATCCAACAGAAAATAAAACTTTTATCTTTATAGCAAGCAGGTGAGGTTGCAACTTGGAACAGTGCATGCACCTAAGCTAACTTCCCTAAGTGACAGGGGCATGGGGCTCTGTCTTCCTTGGTTTCAAAGAGATTGCTCCCAGGTCTTTCAGAAAAACACTCCAGGATTGTAAGAATGACAAGAACTTATTTAAACTTTTAATATGATTACCTTACACATCAAAGGAATAGAAGAAGGATTTATAATTACAAGTCTTTTTACTGAAATACTCAAAGGAAATCAAAGGAAAGGGAGAGGGAAAAGGATCTCTCTCTCTCTCTTTTTTTTTTTTTTTTTACACAAGAGGGACATTTCAGTCCTTCCTCCCTCTCTCTTTTAAGCCAGTGCAGAAAGGAGTAGATCAGGAGCTAGCCTAAAGTCTGGACCTGGACCTGCTGGGTGGCTGGGGTAGGGGTGAGGGGCAGTTGTTCCTGAGAAGGGACTCAGAGAAATTAGCCTTTGATTCAGACTTGAAGTAAGGAATGTGCCTGTGGGCTTCCAGAAAGAACAGCTGGGAGGGGCTGAACAGGTGCAAAGACTCCCAAAAGATTAGTGGAAAGAACTTCTCCAAGAACCTGTCAGACAGTGCCATTAATGGAGGACTTCTGTAAGGGAAAGACCGCTGTAAACAAAGGTAAAAGGCAAGAGATGGGGCCAGTGCTGTGGCTTAGGGGATTACGCTGCTGCCTGCAGCATTGGCATCCCACATGGCCACCAGTTCAATTCCGGATGCTTCACTTCCTATCCAGATCTCTGCTAATGCACCTGGGAAAAGCAGTGGAGAGTGGCCCAAGAGCTTGGATCCCTGCACCCACGTGGGAGACCCAGGCTCCTGGCTCCTGGCTTCTATTCTGGCTCAGCTCCAGCCATTGTGCCGATTTGGGAAGTGAACCATTGGATGGAAGATCTCTCTCTCTCTGTCTCCCTCTCTCTCTAATGCTGCCTTTCAAATAAAAAACAAATAAATCTTTAAAAAAAAAAAAAAAAAGAGGGGGGAGGGCAAGAGACAGACTGAGAGAAAATACCTGCAGTGATAAAACATCTGATTATTCCCAGAGCATGTAAACCCCTGCCTTCTAGGGGAAAAAACAAGCTAAATGTCAGTTCAGCTGAAAGAGTGGGCAAGGGGTGCAAAGAATCCATTCTCAGAAAAGCAGATGGACAAGTTATCTCAAGTGAAATGACAGCTCACAGCGTAGAAGAAAATACTTTTAAATCATGCATCGGATAAGAGTCTAATTCCAGTATACGTAAGTCTTAAAACTCAACAATAAAAAACAACTCAATTAAGAAATTAATAAAGGAGTTACATGTAACATATCTCCAAAGAAGAAGTGCAGATGGCCAGTAAACATAGGAAAAGATGTTCAGTGTCATTCATCAATAGAGATATCTAAGTCACCACCACAATGAGCTACCATTTCACACCCAGTGAGAGACAGTTTTAAAAAGACAGAGTATTTAGGGCAGGCGCCGCGGCTCACTAGGCTAATCCTCCGCCTTGCGGCGCCAGCACACTGGGTTCTAGTCCCGGTTGGGGCGCCGGATTCTGTCCCGGTTGCCCCTCTTCCAGGCCAGCTCTCTGCTGTGGCCCGGGAGTGCAGTGGAGGATGGCCCAAGTCCTTGGGCCCTGCACCCCATGGGAGACCAGGAGAAGCACCTGGCTCCTGCCATCGGATCAGCGCGGTGCGCCGGCCGCAGCGGGCTGGCCGCGGCGGCCATTGGAGGGTGAACCAACAGCAAAAGGAAGACCTTTCTCTCTGTCTCTCTCTCACTGTCCACTCTGCCTGTCAAAATAAAAATAAAAATAAAATAAAAAAAGACAGAAGTATTGGCAAGGATGTGGAGAAATTAGGACTCTGTTACATTGCTGATAGTATTGTTAAATGGAATAACTACTTTGGAAAAACAGTTTAGATCAAAAAGTTAAACATAGAAGCTGGCATTGTGGCATAGTGGGTAAAGTCACCACCTGCAATGCTGGCATCCCATGTGGGCGCTGGTTCATGTCTCAGCTGCTCCACTTCTGATCCAGCTTCTTGCTAATGGCCTGGGAAAAGCAGTGGAAGATGGTTCAAGTACTGGGGCTCCTGCAGCCTGCATAGGAGACCCAGAAGAAGATCCTGGCTCCTGGCTTTCGCCTGTTATAGCCGCAGCCACTGCAGCCATTTGGGGAGTGAACCAGCAAATGGAAGGCCTCTCTCTGTTTTTCCCTCTCTCTCTGTCTTGACTTTCAAGTAAATAAATAAATCTTTAAAATTAAAAAGTTAAACATAGTTATCACATAGCTGAGCATATGTCCAAGAGAATTGAAAACATGTATCTCCCAAAGACTTGTACATGAATGTGCAAAGATAAAAACTACCTGAATATCTGTTGGCAGGCAAATGAGTAAACAAAGTGAGTGACTGAGATGCCTGCCTGGTTTGTGAGGTGTACTCTTGTCATTAGACTTGGCTGGCATGCTTACTGCCGCAAAAAAAGAAATGAAAGAAAAGCTTCTATTCATACAATAGAATTTGGCAAGGAAATGGAGTGAAGTACTGATATATTCTGTAACATGAGTGAACCTCAGAATCATGCTATGTTAAAAAAAGAAGCCAGGTATAAAATATATATTATATGATACCCTTTAAATGAAATGTCTCAAAAAGGCCAATCTTTAGAGGCAGCAAGTAGATGATTAGTGGTTTGTAGAGCAGGGGATGGAAATGAGAAATTATAGACTTGGAGTTTTTCCGAGTAGCTGCACCGTTTTACATTCTCACCCACAGAGTGTGGACGTTCAGATTATTCCTTATCCCTACCAGCACTTGTTATCTGTTCGTCTGTTGATTATATTTGTTCTGGTGGATAAGAAGTGTTACCTCATTGTGGTTTTGATTTTCATTTCTCTAATGATTAGTGAAATTAAGCATCCTGTCTAGTCATTTGTATAGCTTCTTTGGAGAAATGTCTATTCTAATTCTTACCCATTTAAAAATAGTGTTGTCTTTTATTGTTGAGCTATAAAAGTACTTTATGAATTCTGGTTACAAGTCTCTTCCTAAATATATAATATGCAAATATTTTCTCCCATCCGGAGAGTTTCTTTTCACTTTCTTTTTTGTTTTTTAAGCTTTATTATTTGAAAGGCAGAGTGGCAGAGACAGAGATAAAGAGAAAGACATCTTCCATCTACTGGTTTACTCCATAAATGGCCACAAAAGCCAGGGCTGGGCCAGATCAAAGCCAAAAGCCCAGAACTCTGTCCAGTTCTCCCACATGGGTGGTAGAAACCCAAGTACTTGAGCCATCATCTGCTACCTTCCCAGACACATTAGCCGGGAGCTGAATCAGAAGTAGAACAGCAGAGACTTGAACTTGTTTTCCATTATGGGTTGCTGGCATGGCATGCAGAGGCTTAACCCACTACACCACAAAACTAGCCCCTCTTTTCACCTTAATGGTGTCTTTGGAAATAAAATTTTATTAGATCCAGTGTATCAGTGTTTTTATTTGTCCTATGTGCTTTTTTGGTATATATCTAAAAAGTCAGTGCCTAAGTAACTTCAAATCT